TAATTAAAAAATATTTTTTTAATTAAAAAACATACATGCTGATTAAGAAGTCATGAAATGGGCGAGGGCAAGAAAATAATGAAATCAAGAGTGAACTACTGGGGATTTGAGAGGGTCTAAACAGCAGCAACAGAGTAAGTTGATCATAAATTATGGATAACACTGTGAAGAATGGGAATTTCAGAACACTTAATTGTGCTGATGTGAAACCTATACATGAATCAAGAAGCAGTCGTTTGAAAAGAACAAGGGGATTCTGCATAGTTGAAAACTGGAAAAGGCATATGGCAGGGTTGTGTCGTTTCACCTTACTTATTCAATCTGTATGCTGAACAACCTAAAAAGCCAACTATATGAAGAACACGGCATCAGGATCTGAGGAAGACACATTAACAATCTGCGATATGAAGACGACACAACCTTGCTTGCTGAAAATGGAGATGACCTGAAGCATTTACTGATGAAGTCAAAGACTACAGCCTTCAGTATGGATTACATCTGAACGTGAAGAAAACAAAAAACTTCACAACTGGACTGATAAACTACATCATGATAAACAGAGAATTTGAAGTTGTCAGCAATTTCATTCTACTTGGATCAACAATCAGTGTCCATGGAAGGAGTCAAGAAATCAAATGATGTATTGCATTGGGCAAATCTGCTACAAAAAAATCACCTTTAAATTTTCAGAAGCAAAGATGACACTTTGATGATGAAGGTGTGTCTAACCCAAGCCACAGTCTTTTCAATCACCTCATATGCATGTGAAAGTTGAATAATGAAAAAGGAGGAAAGAAGAATTGATGTGCTCGAAATGTGGTGTTGATGAAGAATACTGATTATTTTGTGGACTGCCAAAAGAATGAACAAACTAGTCTCAGAAGAAACATAACTAGAATGCTCCTTAGACACAAAGATGGCGAGACTTCAACTCGCTCACTTTGGACACATCATCAGGAAAGTCCAACTGCTAGAAAAAAACATCATGTTTGGTTGAAGGCCAATCAAAACAAGGGAAATTCTCCATAAGATGGACTGACACAATGGCTGCAACACGGACTCAAACACACCTATGATCCTGAAGATGCTGCAGGACTGGGCAATATTTCGTTCTGTTATACATAAGGTTGCCATGAGTTGGAACTGACTTGACTGCAACTAACAACAACAAATAGCAGCAATTTATAAACGCAGACCTGGGATGAGGTTAGGACATGCGAATAACTTCAAATAGATTTCTTGTTTTGGTGAACTGTAGGAAGAGTAATGCAATCAGTTTATTTAACCTGAATATAAGAATGTGCTTGGCATACAAAAGGGATATGGTTCCTCAAGGACTACAGTTGACGTCTCTTGAATACAAGTAGTTTATTTGGGGGTGGGTGGCTTGAGGAAACTCTGGTAGGGAAGTGGAGAAGAGACACAGAGAAAGGAAGACAGCTAATAAAGCAGCTTCAATCGTGGGTGAATGTGTGTAAACCCATGAGGGAAATGGGGAAACAGTACAAAACATACACTTCAGAGATCCTCAACACAAGGGGAGAGGGAGATCCAGTATTTAAACTCAAATTCCCAGCCATTATTGTGTTGAGGGCTGCTCTCAGGGTATGTTATTACCCTGCAGGTGCAGTGGCCTCTCATGGTTTTAGAAAAAGCTTGCAGGTAAAGATACAGATACTGCAAGTCAGATGACACACACAGAAGGGGTAAGGGAGGGCATGAATAGCATCTGCTACAAATACTGACTTAGACCTATCAGTAGGGTCTAGTAGCATACTAATTTTAGTTTATGAATAAATTTTAATAATTCTTAATATCTCACTAATTACTAATGAGTAGTCCTTAGTTTGTTGTTGGAAAAGTCTATGCAATATTTTTCTATATAAACCACAGACAGACACTCAAATTGTTCATACTCCATCAAATAGTCCCCAACTTGGGGAACCACAGAACAAAGCTCCTATGATTCCCTTCTGCCTTAAATAGACTGGAAGGAATGAAGGTATAGGGAGTTCAAGAGAGACTGGATACAACAGCTTATTACATTTTCTATAAAGTAATTGACTACAGCAGGAGGTAAGTCACAAAAAGAGGGTCCCCACAGAAACATCATTTCAGTTCCTTTTTATTACATTTCAGGAAACGATCTAATTATATATACTTGCAGTAGCGATTACGTTCTAATCTCTAATTGGTAGCTTTTCCAGTTAACATCATGTAGATATCTGTCCTCTGTGAGTACCCTGATGCTTAACAAGGCTTGCACGCCGATTGAAAGATTTTCCACATTTGTCACATCTATAGGGTCTCTCTCCAGTATGAATGACCTTATGTCGATAAAGATTTGATTTGAAACTAAACGTTTTCCCACAATCCGTACATTGAAAAAATTCCTCCTTGGTATGGGTTCTCTGATGCTGAATGAGATCTACGTTCCGACCAAAGGACTGCCCACATTCACTACATCCGTGGGTGTTCTGTCTAGTATGAATTTGTTGATGGCTGATAAGGGTTGAGTGTCGACTGAAGGCTTTTCCACATTCAAGGCATTTATGGGGTTTTTCTCCGCTATGGGTTAACTGATGTCTAATACGGGTTGAATTCTGACTAAATGTTCTCTCACATTCACTACATTTATAGGGTTTTTCTTTGGTATGAATCCTCTTGTGTTCAACAAGATATGAGATCTGACGGAAAAACTTTCCACAGTCGTGACATTTATATGGTTTATCTGGTGGGTGACAACATTTATGGACAATAAGAGATGACTTCTGTTTGAAGGCTTGTCCACAAATGTTACACTCAAAAGGATTCTCTGAAGTGTGAATTCTTTGATGTCGAACAAAATCTGTCTCATGTCTTATGACTATTCCACATTCACTGCATTCGTAACATTTTGGTCTCGTAAGAATTTGATTATGCCTAAAAAGCAATGACCTCTGATTGAAGGGTTTCCCATAGTCATCATATTTGCCTTGCTTATTTGTTTGAGAATTCTGATCTTCAGTAAAATTAAGATTTTCAAGAAAGCCCTTCTTACATTCATCACCACAAGTAGGAAGTGCAAGCCTGAAATTGCCCACAAATTCATTACATTTATATAATTTTTTAGAGGTTTTCTTGGCCTTCTCTTGCTGTACTACTGATACCTTATCTGATACTAATTCTTCAGAAATTTTCTGCATTGAAGTTAGCTTTTTCATCTTGTATCTGGCTTCAGAACCTAGCCAAACAAAAAGAAAATACATAAATGATGTTTACACTGCAAAAGAAAAAAAAAGGAAAAGAAGTTGACTGTTTGAGATATGAGACAATCAAATGGAATTATCAAGTGCTTACTTGACTACATCAGTTATATTCAAGAGACCAAAATTATGAATTTAATAATTCTCTTAGCTTTCATAAAAGAAAGAGCTCTTTACATCAACTGACCAAAAATAATGCACAAGAGTGTGTGCCAGAGAATGTGAGAATAGAACAAGTCTATCATCATTATTGGAAAAACAACTTCCTCTGGTCATGAACGACTGATGTTAAAAATCAGTAGTGTCACATAAATATAGGAGAGGTAACATATTACACTTTCTAGATATGCATATTTGTAATAATTCTGGGTGAAAAAAAACTCCTTGAAAATAGAGAAAATATAGGATAGAGCAGAAAAGGAACCAGAGGAGAAACAGGTACAAAATCTAATAGAATAGAGCAGTGGATCTCAACCATGGTTGATTTTACTCCCCAGGGGATATTTAGCAATGTCAGGAGACATTTTTGTCACAAGTCGGGTGGTGCTACTGGCACCTAGTGGGTAAAAGCAAGGATGCTGTTAAACATCCTACAATGCATAGGGCATCCCTCCACCCCCCAAAGAATCATCCAGCCCAAAATGTCAGCAGTGCCAAGGTTAAGAAATCTTTGAGTAGAGGGATGTAAAAAAGGAAAGGATAGAAGGGCAATCAAGAAAAAGTATATCAAGGAATACTGAGGGAATATGAAAAACAAAATGAAAGTAAGGGTATAAGAGACAGTATGTCAAAAGGATAAGTAATGAGAGTAGAATAAAGGAGTATCTAGGGTCTAGCGTGGTTGTCATTTAGAAAACACTAGACCAGCTACTTCAGAGAAACAGTACACTGCAGTGCGAAGAGGACAAGCTTTGTAGAGACTTGAAATCAATCCCAATTCTATCAACCTATGACAGATAATTTAATTTTCAGTTTCTTCATCTGGAAAATGGAACGATAATCATACCTACTGCCTTCATAGGGCAGGAGGGATCAATAAGTGGGATACATGCCAGGCACCTGGCTCAGTGTCTGGTGCACAGAAGGAGCATCATTCATGTGACTTCCCTTCCTCTTTACCATTTCCACTTGATTGGGTCTCTTCCTCACCTACCTGGGCAAGCACTACTGGAAGCTTTCCTATTCCCAGCACTTGGTAGATCCAGGATCCATGGCTCTTCCCAGTCTTCCAGCTGAGAGATCACCTCAGGTTTGGGGAACTGAAATCCTACTCATGGGGAAGTAAACGGGATGTGGTGGTTAGTGAGTTGTAAAGAGATGTCCTGGAGCTTCGTCTTATCTCTTTGATCTACAGTGGTAAGCACAGATATAAGGACGGTTTTTAAAAAGGCTGATGAGAATAGAAATTGGCACAGTATTTGTGAAAATTTGGCAATCTTTTCTGAAAGCCTAAACAACATTCGTACCCTTCAACCTGGTAATTTAACTCTTAAAAATACAGCCTAAAGAAAAACTAGGACAAAAATTAATGTACCAGAGATGTTCAATAGTGTTATAACCAGGGCTTCAAACCAGTTTGTTCTGGTTCGAACCCCTTCTGAGAATTTGCATTTCCATCTCTGATATACTGAATCAGAATCTATGTTTTAACAAGATCCCCAGGTGATTCTTATGTATACTAAATTTTGAGAACCACTGCTCAGAATTGGTCCCTAACCAGCAGCATTAGCATCACCTTGGAACTCGTTAGACATGCAAATTCTCAGCAGGGGTTTGAACTGGAATGAACAGGTTCGAAGTCCTGGTTACAACTGTGCAAAACTGGAAATAAACTGAATGTCAACAGGGGAATGATAACACAAAGCCTATGAAGACATAATTATTAGACAGAATATTTGTGAGAATAGAAAAATGCTCCCTATATATTTTAAAGCAGAACACAAAACTCATGTATAGCATTTCCGTTGTTGTTTTTAAAAACTATATATAGAAAAAATAAAGAAAAAGTAAACCAAAATGTTATACAGTGATTATTTCTGAGCAATGGGCCTGCAGATTTTTATTTTCTACTTTATTCACTGATGTAGTTTCCAAAATTTCTATTATGAATATGTATTATTTTTGTAACTAGTAAAATCTCTAAAGGAGAGCAATGATATAGTAAAGATGCATTCTCAAATACTGCTGTTCAATAAACACAATAGTAGAAATTTTCTTGAAAACTCATTCATCAATATATATTAAGAAATTTAAAGTGCCCATATTCTTTAACTCCAAAATTCTAATTCTTGGGGAATAATCAGAAATGCATATAAAGATTTATAGTCAGAAGCATCCTTTGGAACATTGTAACACAGAAAATGATACACACAAAGCAAACCAACAAAGTCAAGGTGAGCACCCCAAAATGGGAAAATGAGTATTATTATGTATCATATAGTGGCATTATGTTATGATCACTTATTATAGGTATGGAGAATTTTAATAACATAGGGAAAATGCTGATGTTACAATGTTAAGTTTAAAAAGAATCATGGCATTATATACTTGCTCACATACATTTTTTTTTAAGCACAGGAATAAAGACTGGAAGAAAACATTCCAAAGTATTAATACTGTTACCCTTGAATGTTTTTTCCTTTCTTTGATACTTACCTGTACCTTCCACATATTCACTTATGCCCTGGTAACGCTTTTAAAAAGAAAATAAACATTACAAAAAACCAGAGATTGGTGGACAATTTCACAAGAGGTGGTCACAACTGTGACAAGAGTATCAACATGGGGCGACAAATATGTGGTCCCAGAAAGAAAACTATTACCAGCCCCCACACCTCAGAGAGGGCAGGAAAACTGCCACAGGAGACTGCATTGGAGTAAGGCAAACATAAACTCTTGGGAAGACAGAAGTAGTGAAGGTTCAGAAATGAAGTTAGTTAGGAATGGTTTCCAGGGCACCCACTGGTGTTGCAAACAAGGAAGTT